AACTTATAGATATAAGATTTAAATGAAATTTTAATATATAAAATATAAATAAACAAATGGTACCATTATATAACATAAACAAAAACAAAATAATATTGTAAAATTAAAACAAAGTAGGTAAAGTATCTCTAAGAATTTATTGTAATCCTAGTATATAAGAAAATCATAAAATTTAATGTAATATTTAGTAATAGAATAATCTTAAATAAATAAGATCATTCTTTTGTAAAAGGGAGGTGTAGCATACATAATAATATAAACAAAAACATCTGTTACTCATTTCATGTGTGGTCTACTTGAGAAAAGCATTATTCACTTATTCTTAAGTCACACTATATACGCAACAGCATTAATTGCTGATCTTGCAATTAATGAGACAAAGCACTTTGAGCTGCTTGTGTATGCTGCGTCGCTCTTAAAGCACAGAAGTATTTGAGATGTTGCCTGAGCAACAACGTTTAATATTCCCTTAAATAAAATATTAAATATATGAAAACAACAGATACTTGTTTATATAATAAAACATTAATAAAAAGATATTACATTATGCATTTTGACATTATTCAGACCATACTGACTTATAAGCAGTATTAGTAGTAGCCTGTAAAGCGGAATCATTTTGCAACGAAGCGGAATCATTTTGCACTTTGAATAATAATTCACAATTCTTATGAATGCCATTAAATCAGACTACTTATTAAGTATAGGTGGATTTAACTAAGATCTGGATTTTTACTAAGACCATTAGAATTGCTTGACTATGCAGATGACAGATGTAAGTTATCCCACCGGAGCAGTGATATACAAGACAAACATAATGATCCGGCTCATGAATCATCTGAAGTCTTATCGGTTCTTCTTTATGGCTGTGAAACATGATTCGATCTTCAACATCTTCTGGCCCCACATCAGCATCAGCTGATCCCTTCAGATATTGCCCCATCTCCCTTCTTAACTCTGTCAGTAAGTTCTATGAAACTTTCATAGCCAGCAAGCTGAAGTCCTTCTCCTCGAGTAGTAATATTATTCCCCTTACCAGTTTGGCTTTAAACACCAAACTTCCTATGTCCATGCCTTACATTGACTCAAAAATGAGATATGCGTAGAGTTTTTCAATAAGCAGCCCACTGTTATATTTCTCATAGGGCTTTTCAAGTCCAAATCTGTTCCTCTTTGTCCCGCGACTTCCTCATCGACGCTGGCACCTCTCAGGACTCGGTTTTTGGCCCATTCCTCTTTAACTGTCTAGTCTTCGTGCGGTCGTCTAACTCCCGCAAATTTCCGGTGAGCTTAATGACCACTTTTGATCCTTTTTTGACTACTAGACCAGGTGAAAAATTAAGCTCAACCCCACCAAGATCTCTGCAATAGTTTTCTAGGCCAGCAGCGTGATCACACCAGAGCTTTTGATATCTTTGACATCGAGCTCAGACTCCACAACATTCCTATCCAGCTAGTACCCAAGCCGAAATATCTTGACATTGTTTCTTCCCCGCAACATAATTTTGTCCACCACGTTGATTATGCTATCCGTAGCGTCCGGATCAGACATATTCAACAGAAAAATACACTCCGAAGACACAACCAGCTTAGCTGCAAAAAAGTTGTGACTTTTCATCTAGAATGAGTCAATTGTATGCATCAGAAATATCAAGTTTGGTGAAAAGTTCATCTCCTTCCAAAGATAGAAACATTTCCACAATTCTTGGCAAGGGGTGGTAAAAATAATATAAATATTTTTTAATCGTTGTTTTGTGATCCCCATTCTTCACCATTTGGTTTTAGTACAGCAACCAAATGCGTACCCCAATCATAATTAATCGGTTTTAATTAATTGATTTAATTTTTTTTCAATACTTTTAAGCAAATGGTATGGTCTGGTTAACATGAAGAACAGCCGATTGAATAGTACTTGTGACAGAAAAACTATTGTTGAAGAGAAATTATTTCATAACCTACAATAATTATTCTGTGCAAATCGATTATTTTTACTTTCAGAATAAAGTATTAAAAGGCATTAAAAGTTAAATGTTCTTATCTCCTATAGACATAGTTGAAGAAGAGACAAACCGCACATAGACTTATGTTTTTGAAGAAATTGTCCTAAACTAATAACAAAATTTTAATAAGATAAAGGAATTACATTTGTACAAGACAACGTCCACTGAATTCAGGTTGGCAGCGGCAGTTTCTATTATTGTACTAGTTGATGTAGCGTGGAAGTACAGGAAGTTGATAGGATGTAACAAAACAGAATACACAAATTTGTGTAGAAGCCCGAGCTTGGGGTCCGTAATTCGAAATTACCCATCACTACCACCACCACTGTTAGTTAGTGAGCAGCAATTGAAAAAAATAATTTAACTAGTATAAATTTTATTTATTAATTACATACAAATATTTTTGTTTGAATACATTTAGAATAAGAAATTAAACATTTATTGAACTTAGATAGTTTAGGAGATTATATATAGCCATAATCAAAAGCATTTACACAACGAAAATGTTTGTACACATTGTACTAAAATAAATTTTTGTTGTTGTTATTGAACGTAAGTTTCAAAATTTTTTTGTTTTTGTCACTTAGGTTTATCTACGCAGAAGCAAATACAAAAGGAATTGGAACAATAACTGTTCATTTAACAAAAATATAAGCAAATCCACTGATGTTTATTTATTGTCAAAAGTATTTACACACATTTTTTCGCATAGTGCAATATTTATTTATTTATTTTTTTTTATTTTATTTATTTAATAAAGTGCTATGAGGAACACCCTTTTAGTGCACTTTCTTACATACTAACTTACAAACTAACAAATAAAATTAAATATACTAATTAAACTATTGCTTAAAAATTAATTATTAAAAAAATTAAAATATAATCATAATAACAATGAAATTATAGAAGAGAAAAATTAAAGAAGAGTATTTATTAATGAAATCAAAATAAAAGGCAAAACGAAACAGTAAAAAAAAGAAAATATTAATAAGCCAAAAATAATATTAATAATTAAAAGAAAAAATTAATCAAAATAAAGAAATAAGAATGAAACAATATTAATTAATATAAGATGGTAATAATAAACTAAGACAGTTCCTGTAAAACTAACTTTTTGAAGCACCTTAAGTTGTTTGCGTTTCTGGTATCACTAGATAACGAGTTCCAGAGTCTTACCGCATTTATGAAAAAGAAACTAGTCACTAGATCTCAGTGAATGCAATTTACATAGGTTATTAAAAAGGTACCCAGGGATTTGGGTCGTAGCGATTTTAAATATGAATATGGAAACATATCTATTTATAAATTGTTCAATATCATATCCCAGAATATTATTCCTGTTGCCAGTTAAATGATCAAAACGCCTGAGTCCATAGACATACCTTGTCAAGCAGTTTACTAAAGCTCTTAATTTGTATAGGGAGTCTGAGTCAAGTTTGCTGTAAACCAGACTAGAATACATAACTATAGGCATTATTAATTGCTTTACTAACGTACAACGAAGATTTATTGGAGTATATTTAGCTGATAATTGTAAACATCTAAGTGATACAATTGATTTCCGAAAGACTTGATTTATGTGGTCACGGGCATTCAAGCTGGAGTTCAAGCAAAAACCTAAGCATTTTACTGATAATTTATAATCAATTGTAGTACTACCAATTAAAATTAAAGGCAATTTCTCCAGTATAATTTTTCTTCTCGCAATAGGCAGAATAATTGTTTTATCTGTATTAAGCAGCATGTTGTTTACTTTTGCCCATGCATTAATTCTTTCTAAGTCATCAGTAAGCTTACGAACACTGCCACCTAAAAACCTACAGTACTAGAAAGATACATTTGAATATCATCTGCATATGCATATAATTTGGAGTATTTACATATGGAGAAAACATCATTTATAAAAGGTAATGCCGGTGACACCTAATGTCACAAATACCAAATTAAGCTAAGGTTGCCGCGTCGACAATATAATTCAATTCATGCTAAATAGCATGCAGGTGCTACTATCATTGCCCCTACCTGTTGCAGATGCAACGTGCATCGCAGACGATCGCATTTCTCGTGGGAAACTACGCGAGCAACAGTTCCTGTTGATGCTGCATATTTTATTATTAAGTTAGACTATAAGAACTAATGTAAGATTTTATTCAAATCAGTTTTTTATTAATCTTAGAAATAAACGGTTCGGAGTAATCCGAAAGAAAAGAAATCGTAAAGAATTCATTAATTGGCGCCCAACTAAAATTTACAATTACTGTTCAAACATGAACACATTTTATAGTTTATTTTTAAGATTTATTATTATTTTAGAAGATAAGTTTTTAATCTGTATATGTAAGCAAAAATGTTATCCACTAAATACTATTTGTAAAGGACTGTATTAATTATTTGAATATTTCAGAAAATTTCTATTGTTTACTTAAATGCTTTAAAGATAAAATTTTATTGTTTTTCAATGTTTAATGATTATAGCACAAGCTGTGCACAAATGTAAAATGATAACGCGCATGTGTATCAATAACAAAGATTGTAACCTTTTTTATCTTAGACACACATGCGCATAAGTATACAGTCCACTAGCTAATATACAGTCCACAACGTAGCGATAACAAATTTAACACTTAGTTTTATGATAAAATAATTGTATAAATACATGTACTAGAAATGAAATAAAGTTAGTAGTTTAAAATTACTCAAAGTGTGTGTACTTTAATTTATTAAATGTACATTTTGGTCCTTCGAGACATAAAGTGAAATTGAGTACAGTGCGATACAAGCGTGGACCGAGGCTTAAACATCGGTGCCATAAACTAAATATATAGTACAGTGCAGATACAAGCGTGGACCGAGGCTTAAACATCGGTGCCATAAACTAAATATATAGTGCAGTGCTAAAAAATAAAAGCGTGGGCCGAGGCTTAAACATCGGTGCCAAAAATTTAAATATAGTGCAAAAAGCATTGATCGAGATTTAAATATCGGTACGGTAAAAAGAAAATGGATCCATCAAAATTATTAGCTCTGCTAAAACAGCAAAGAGCAATATATGACGATGTTAAGAATATCGATAAGAATAGCAACAAACGTGAGTTGCTTGCGAATACAATAAAAGAACGTTTAGATAAACTACAAGGATTATGGAATCAATTTAAAGATAATCACGAGAAAATACTCTTAACGGAGAATAAGGAAGACAAATATTTTAATGAGGAATTTCACACTACAGTGCATCAAAAAGTGATTCAGGTGAAAACAATGCTCGAAGAAATAGTTGAAAGCAAAGATAGAAATGCAGAATCTGTTGAAAGCAAAAGTGTAGACGAGAAAATAAAGGAAAGTCAAATTGAGAAAAATAAAATCAACAATCTAGTAGAGCAATATAACAATAACATCGCAAGGTTAAGACAGATGTTAGAAAATCTTGACCATTATGATACTGTCACGCGATTGGAACAACTTAATGGAATCTGGAAAAGAAAGTTCGAAGATATTAGAAGTATCTATAAGAAGCTGGTTATTGAAATGTCGTACAATGAAGTAGACATTATGAATGATTATGATGAGATTGAAGACCAATACGATAACGCGTTAGATGAATTAGCCAATAAAATGGAAAAATTACGTGAGGGGAACAACGTTAAGCTTGACTGCATTAGAATCCCAAATTTCAACGGTAATATTGAAGAATGGTCGTCTTTTCATGATCTATATAAAAGGCTTAACAATGAGGATGGAAAAATTTCGAATGTTGAGAAAATGTATCGACTCAAAACATTAGTAAAAGGAGAAGCAAGCAAGCTGATACAACATCTACCGGTGTCGGAATTGAATTATGCTGTAGCTTGGGAGATTTTGTCGCAAAGGTACGAAAATGAAAGAATGTTGTTTACAATATTGGTCGATAAATTGCTCGATCAACCATCTGTATATAATGATTCAGCGTCAAGTTTGAAAAAGTTGCTTGACACATCGATAGAATGTATCCAGGGGCTGAAGGCAATGGGTATAAAAACGAATAAAGCAGATCCAATAATAGCAAGGATTATAATCAGGAAGTTGGATAAGGAAGGATTACGGCTATATGAGCAAAATATAAAAAGGACAAAGGAAATCCAAAAAATGGACGATGTATTACAGTTTCTGGAGCAGCAATACCAAGCAGCAGAGGCGATTAAATCTAAGAAACAAACTAATAATGTAAAGTCTTTTCAAAAAACAACAGCGACAACTATAGTAGCAAATGATTACCAGTGCTTTTACTGCAACAAAAAAGAACATATGGCAATAAAGTGTTATGAGTTTCTAAAGCTACAAGTCAAGGACAAAAATACATGGGTAAAAGACGCTAAAATTTGTCGCGTCTGTTTATCGCATAAAACTACAAAAAGATGCAATAGTAAGACAAAATGTCAAGATTGTGGGAAGTGGCATAATGCTCTTTTGCACATTAATTCAGGGCAAAATAATAACACATCAACATTAACAATGAAAATGTGTTGCACAGCAGAAAATGTGTTACTTGCAACGGCGCAAGTGCGCGTAAAAAGTGTTCAAGGTGAGATGATTATGTTAAGGGCACTAATTGACCAAGGGTCGCAAACTACAGCTGTATCAGAAGAAGCGGCACAAATATTAAATTTGCCAAGGAAAAAAGTAAAAATGGAGGTGCAAGGGTTTGGAGGAACACCGGTTGGCGTTGCAAAGGCAAAAATAAATCTTCAAATTCACCCACGATTCACTAGTAAATATAAAATAAATGCAGAAGCATTAATTTTACCATCATTGGTATCTTGTCAACCGGATAAAACCTTTAGCTATAATATAGATAAGTGGGAAAATATGACCTTGGCGGACCCAAATTTTAATAAATCCGATAGAATTGACATAATCATAGGAAGCGATCTTTACGGAGAAATTCTTGAAGGCGGTCTACTTAAAAAAGATAAAATATTGGCGCAATCAACAAAGTTCGGCTGGATATTATCAGGTATTTTACAAGCAAAAAGAAGCATTAAAGGATTCATCTCTTCCAACGTCGTCAACATAGAAAAGTTTTGGGAAATAGAAGAAATTCCAGAGGATGAAGATTCATCGGAAGACGGATATTGTATGAAAAATTAAGCTGCGACAACTACCAAAAATGAAGATGGACGATTTGTAGTTGAGTTACCTTTCAAAGAAGAACACCAACTTGGCGACTCATACAAAATGGCGATGGCACGATTCATAAATTTGGAAAGAAAATTACAGGCAAACCCATCATTAAAGAGAGAATATGTCGAATTCATGAAAGAGTATCTATCTGATGGGCATATGAAAAAAGTAAGTTCAAAAAGTCAGGGAAAATATTATCTACCTCACCAAGAAGTAGTAAGAGCGAATAGTATCACTACTAAGGTGAGAGTAGTTTTTGATGCTTCGGCAAAGACCACGAATAAATATAGTTTAAATGATGTATTGTGAGAATGATGTAAATGAGAAGCGAGATTAATCAGCCAATTGAAGAATACAAGTTAACAACTGTAACTTACGGTATTGCCCCTGCTTCATTTTTAGCTATAAGAACTTTATTTGAAATAGCAAATGAATGTCAGGATAATCAGATATCGAAAATAATTAAAGACGATTATTATATGGACGATCTTCTAACTGGCGGTGATACAAAAGAAGAGTGCAAAAGTGTTCGGCTAAGGATATCGGCGCATTTGGAGAAGTATGGATTTGAGAAAATGGTGCTCAAACAGCATGGATATAATAGAAACGGTGGAAAAATCAAAAGACAATGAGGTCATTGATATAGATAAAGAAGAAAGTATAAAAACGCTTGGCTTGCAATGGAATCCTAACAATGATATATTCATGTTTAAGATAGCAGAAAGTAGAGACGTCTATATAACAAAAAGAATGGCATTATCGTATCTAGGTAAAATATTTGATCCATTAGGACTATTGGCTCCAGTTACAGTATTGGTTAAGTTATTTGTGCAGAAGCTCTGGATAAGTAATTTAGATTGGGATATGAAATTAAATGAAGAAATGATGAAAGAATGGAAAAACATTGCGCAGAACTTAGACGCAATACAAACAATCAGAATTGAGAGATGGGTAGGAGTTACCGGAAATGATGAAATATGCCTGGTAGGGTTCGCTGACGCATCGGAAAAGGCCTACGCAGCAATAGTGTACATAAAAACGCACGCAAAGGTGTCCATAATAGCAGCAAAAAGTAAGGTAAATCGTATAAAAAATAGAAAAACATTGCCGAAGCTTGAGCTGTGTGCAGCGCATCTATTGGCAAAATTATTAAATAAAATTCATAACATAATTAACAGAAAAATAAAAATGTATGCATGGAGTGATTCCACGATTACATTATGCTGGATAAAAAGCAATTCAAGCAAAAATAAATTTATTAGGTCAAGAGTAAATGAAATAAGCTCGTTAATTCCAAGCGCCAATTGGTTTTATGTGCGATCAAAGGAAAATCCAGCAGACCTAGCATCCAGAGGAATTCAGCCGGAAAAGTTAGAGAAGCAATCGTTATGGTGGAGAGGTCCAAACTGGTTAAACGATGATAGAAGGACATGGCCAAAAGAACAAATGGCAGCTAAAATAATAAATATCAGTAAATTAAGAGAGGAAGACTTATTTAATCAGCTCATCGAGAAATATTCATCTTTTAGAAAATTAAGTAGAGTGGTAGTATATATTTTTCGTTTCATAGACAGACTGAGGAAGGCTAAGTCTCCAGAATATTTAACTGTAGAGGAGTTTAGAAGAGCAGATGCAGCTATTTTTAGAAGTTATCAGACAACACAATTTTTTACGGATATAAGCAGATTGAAAAATAGCTGTGAAATAGATCATCGAAGCAAAATGGCAAATTTGAATCCGTTTTTAGACAAAAACCAAGTTTTGAGAGTTGGAGGTCGATTAATCAATGCAAAAATTGGTTTTGATAAAAAGCATCCAATAATTATAGCAAAAGGTCATTTGGCGAATTTGATAATAAATGAAGCACACCGAGAAACATTACATGGTGGACATCGATTGATGGAAAATGTTATAAAAAGAAGATATTGGATATTTGGACTTAAAAACTTGATTAAGAAATGTATACGTGAATGTGTAAGGTGCACCCGTTATAAAGCATTAAAGCAGAAGCAGCTTATGGGTGATTTACCAGAATATAGGGTCAATGTGTCTGCTCCGTTCGCTCATTGTGGAGTAGATTACGCTGGACCATTGCTAATAAAATGTTCTAAAGGGCGAGGCCAAAAAACTTTTAAAGGGTACGTAGCGGTATTTGTATGTATGGCAACTAAAGCTTTGCATTTAGAGTTGGTAAGTGACATGACATCAGACTCATTTCTGGCGGCGCTGAAGCGATTGTTTGCACGCAGAGGCAAATGTTCACATATATACTCAGACAACGGTACCAACTTCGTTGGAGCATCCAAAAAATTAGATAAGGATTTACAACAGGCTATTAAAAGTAATGTGAGTGCAGTTTGTGCATTGGAAGCAGAAGGTATAAAATGGCATTTAATTCCACCGGCAAGTCCTCATTTTGGAGGTTTATGGGAGTCGGCCGTGAAGTCAATAAAACACCACTTGAAAAGAGTTGTTGGCGAAAATAAACTTACTTATGAGGAGTTAAGCACACTTCTAACCCAAATTGAGGGCATACTTAATTCACGACCGCTTTGTGCAAATGTTGACGACAATGATATATTAACTCCAGGTCATTTTTTAATTGGGCATGCTATCATTGACTATCCAGAAGCAGTAGATAATATGAACATATCTTCATTAAATCGTTGGAAGATAATTCAAGCAATGATGAAACATTTTTGGAAACGATGGAAGGAAGAATATTTAACGAATCTTCAGCAGAGGTACAAATGGATAGGGGTTCAAGCAAATGTTAAGGAAGGCCAAGTGGTAATAGTGAAGAATGAGGAAACATATCCAGGAAGATGGCCTCTTGGAAAGATAATCGAGGTTCATCCTGGAAAAGATAATCTGGTGAGAGTAATATCGGTAAAAACTCAGAACGGCACAATAAAACGTCCGATTCAGAAATTATGTGTATTGGAAGGCGTACACGAACAAATACATGTTGCTGAGAATACGAAGATAAATGTTATTAAACGAAAAGATTTGAAAAAAGAAAAATCTGTTAATTTAATGTTACTTTTATTGCAAATGATTTTAATTCCATCTAGAATAGCGTCAGAAGCAATTAAAGGAGGAAAAGTGAATAAGATAGACAAAGACACGATGGTTTATTTGGACGAAATTGGATCTATGAACGTGGTATCATCATCATGGAAGCTGTTAATATGTTTTGATTTGGAGCCCTTTTTCGAAATAATTGATAAAGGAGGTACAACTATATTGGAAATGGAGAAAATTTGTTCTAAACTGCAAACATTTGAAAACCATTGTGTGGCAATTATAGAAGATATGAGACAGCAAATACAGCAGATGCAGGACACAAATAAATATTTGCTTCAATATAAAAATCAAAGAACGAGAAGAGCGTCATTTGAGTTCATCGGGTCACTGCAGCACATATTGTTTGGCACAATGGATGCAGAAGATAGAAAAATGTTCGAAGAAGACATGATGAGATTACTAGAAAATCAGCATGATATCAAGAATCTGATAAATAAGCAAACTTCGGTAGTAGATTCTACGGTGAATTTGTTAAAAAGAACCACCACGGAGATAAATAATAATTTTAAACAAATGCAAGATAGGCTCAACATCTTGTCGTCGGCAATGCAGGAATCATATTTGGTATATCGGGAGTCAATTAAGTTTTTCATGGTAACAAAAGAGCTGCAGGGAATAATTGAAGAAAACAGAAATGTTCAAACAGAAATAATAGAGCTTTTAATTGACATAAATCATGGGAAATTGAATCCTTCGTTGATAACTCCTACTCAACTGTATGAAGAAGTTAGAAGCATCAAAGAACATCTTACAAATAAATTAAGGCTGCCAGGAAATAGCGATAATCAGTTGCAAGTTATTTATAAGCTTTTATCGGCAATAGGAACAATAATGGATAAGAAACTAATCATAAAGGCAGAAATACCATTATTTGACACACAAGAACCAAAACTATACAAAGTAATTCCGATGCCTATGGAAAAGCATGGGATAATTTTGAGTCCAATGATACAAAAGCAGTTTCTTATATATAATTTCGAAATGGACTCATACCATTTGATGACGGAAACACAGCTCAACTTATGCAAACACGTCACAGAAGCGGAGTATGTTTGTGAAGGTAATTGGCCATGGCTAGATGCGAATGACTCGTCGTGTGAGATTTCACCATTGAAGCCTTTAAACGCTTATAAATGTACATACGTTGAAGCGGAATCATCTCTATATTGGGTAAAACTAAATAATGCAAATAATTGGTTATTTAAAACATTTAAACCAACATCAGCACATATCCAGTGTAATCAAAATCGGCAATTTATTTTAGAACTTCCACAACAGGGAAGAATATCATTGCAACCAGGATGTACAATAAGAATTGAAGGTGTTACAATAAAATCACCATTTAATATAAACTCTAATTCGAAAAAGGAAATACCAGCCACATTGACAGCGAAGATAGGGAACACTACTAGAATTCGTATTCCACCATTAAATTCATTAATATCCAATCACACAAATGAACTGCAAGAGCTTCAGAGTCAAATCAAAGTCATAAAAGAAGAGAATATTAAATTACGTGAAATTAAATATCATCAAATAGCAAGTCATACATCTCTTTTCTTAGTAACAATTTTGATAATAGGTATAGTGATATATTTTGTAAAAAGGAAGCATACGGAACGCGCAATTGCTCGATTGGACATTTTTAACAAAGAGAATCTCTAATATGACCAGACCAATGAACGCTAAATAATCAAACGAGATTGGAATGTAGAATTAGGCCGCTGGCAGAATGTTCAAACATGAACACATTTTATAGTTTATATTGAAAAATGTAATGTTTATTTTAATTACATTGGCAACCCTTTTTATTTTATAGTTCAACTATTGTAACTATTACACTTTGTATTTATTCTTTAGTCTAATAAAGTCTTTTAAAC